TACTAATTAAAATGGATGAGATATCCGTAAATATTCGTAAATATCCGCAAATATCTATTTATTTTCCGGATATCCGTTTTTCCGGATATCCGTATTTTTTCGAAGCAAAGCAAATACCAAAATTAGATATCCGTAACATTCGAAGCAAATCACAAATACCTTAAAAAACCCGGATATCCGATCCGTGCCCACCCCTAGTTCACATTTCCTAAACAGTTATTTGCCCATACTATTTCCAGGAAAGAAACAGACTTTAATTTGTTAAGAAAATACTCATTTTGTATATTTTGAAAATACTAAACTAATTGTCAAAAACAAATTCTAGACTAAATATAGTAGGCGAATGTAAAATGATAGTAAGAAAATATCTTGGGGTTAATTGTCAAAGACTAATTAATTCTTTTAGGGAATACAAAACCGTAAAACACGTAAAGACTTTTCTATAGATTAGTGGTAGTTGCTGACCATAAATAAACAGAGTAAAACTCCGACAACACCCACAAGAGGAAACTTTCTCTTAACAGAAATGATTAAAATGGCTGTTCCCACGGGAATTCTCCGGCTTCTCATCCTCGCCGTTCTCTCGCTCCATCTTTATCTCTCCCCTTTTGTCTCCTCCGTGGAGATCGATTCCTCAGATCTCAAAGCTCTTCAAGTCATAGAAACAGAGCTCGGAGTCAACAGTCAACGCTCTTCTTGGTCCAGTGATGTAAACCCTTGCGGTCATGGAGGAGTTTCTTGCGAGAGACGGCACTCCAACGCCACGGGAGAATACGTTCTCCGTGTCACGAGGCTCGTCTACCGATCCCGGAGCTTGTTAGGAACCATCTCACCGGTTATCGGAACGTTGTCGGAGCTTAAAGAACTCACTTTGTCTAATAACAAGTTGGTCGGTGGTCTTCCACTGGATGTCTTAAACTGCAAGAAACTCGAAGTTCTTGATGTCCGAAACAACAGATTTTCCGGTCAGGTTTCGGGAAACTTCTCTCGTTTGATCAATCTTCGAATCCTTGATCTTTCTTCAAATAAATTCTCTGGGAACTTGAACTTCTTGAAGAACTTACGCAATCTTGAGAGCCTCTCCGTTGCAAACAATCTCTTCTCAGGCAAGATCCATGAGCTAGTTATGTCCTTCAAGAATCTCCGGTTCTTTGACTTCTCCGGAAACCGGTTCTTGGAAAGTCCGGTTCTGGTTATGAGTAAAATCAAGAAGCTTCATAGGCGCATTCTTGCTGAAACTCCATCTACAAACTCCACGTCAAAACCAACAAAGACACCTCCAAAAGACGAGAAAAAGAAGACAAAGAAGAAGAAGAAGAACAAAAGAAAGAAAGTAGTTGCGTGGATCTTAGGGTTTGTAGTTGGAAGCATAGGTGGACTCCTCTCTGGTGTTGTCTTCTCGGTAATCTTTAAATTGATTCTTAAAGCAATAAGAGGACCAGAGAAACCACCAGGTCCTTCCATATACAGTCCATTAATCAAAAGAGCTGAAGATTTAGCTTTCTTGGAGAACGAAGAGTCGTTAGCTTCTCTTGAGCTCATTGGCAAAGGAGGTTGTGGAGAAGTCTTCAAAGCCGAACTTCCAGGAAGCAACGGGAAGATCATAGCCGTGAAGAGAGTGACACAACCTTCTAAAGACGCAGCAGAGCTTGTAGACGAAGAATCCAAGTCTCTGAACAAGTTCATGAGGCAAATTAGGTCAGAGATCAACACGGTAGGTCAAATCCGGCACCGGAATCTTCTCCAGTTGTTAGCACACGTCCCAAGACCAGAGTGCCACTTCCTTGTTTATGAATACATGAAGAACGGGAGTTTGCAAGATATACTAACCGATGTTTCAGCTGGAAACAAAGAGCTAACGTGGCCAGCAAGGCACAAGATTGCTCTAGGTATAGCTGCAGGGCTTGAGTATCTTCACATAGAAAGTAACCCTAGAATCATCCACAGAGACTTGAAGCCGGCTAATATTCTTCTTGACGACGATATGGAGGCTAGAATTGCGGATTTCGGGTTGGCCAAGGCGATGCCTGATGCAGTCACCCACATTACAACCTCTAAGCTTTCAGGTACTGTGGGATACATAGCACCAGAGTATCATCAAACTCTCAAGTTCACAGATAAGTGTGACATCTACAGCTTTGGTGTGATTCTTGGGGTTCTTGTGATTGGGAAGCTTCCTTCTGATGAGTTTTTCCAGCATACTGATGAGATGAGTCTTATAAAGTGGATGAGGAAGATACTAACATCGGAGAATCCAAGCCTAGCTATTGATCCGAAGCTGATGGAACAAGGATTTGATGAACAGATGCTTCTTGTTCTGAAGATTGCTTGTTATTGTACTTTGGATGATCCTAAACAGAGGCCGAACAGCAGAGATGTCAAGACTATGCTGTCCCAGATCAAGCACTAGCTAGTGTCTCTCTGTGATATATAGTTTTCTTCTAAATATGTATGTTTACATTTCCTGTCGTATGAGAAATAAACTACACGTGAACACAATAGTGTTCGCTTGGCAGAAGCTTGTGATGAAGATGTATAATTAAAATGGATTTTAACTATATTTTATTGCTCTAAACATAATAAGAACTGAGTCAACACATGTTGAGATGTATAAACTTTTAGTTGGATGGACAAACAAATATTTAATAAGTTTTTCTTCGCCACAGTAAGAGCATGTGAGCTGTTAACCCTCGGACAGAAATGAGAGAATTTCAGAATAATGGCTTCATACACATATTTATGGGTGAAGCTGGACCATTTAATATTTATGTGTATGAAGACAGTCGCAAGTGAAGAAATTCCCGGTTGCTGCTGATGCCAGTGTGTGAAGCTGGACCATTTAATTTCTAACGCTGGAGAACAATACTATTAAAGTATGAGAAATACTATAAACGGCCGACAATTCTATTTGTGTTACAAGGAATTACATTTGACTGCATCACATAAACCATCCTATGAAATTCACGTTTGATCATATTTCTTGCGCCATGATACCAATTTCTTATAATTTTTTCTCCATTTATTTGTATAATTTCGTATGATGTAAAATTTTGACATTTTGTTGTAGAAGTATTCAGAGCACTTTTAATGGAAATATTCTTACGGTAGGGTTCTTAGCAAATATAAGAACCAGTCTTTTAACTTTTAACTAAAAAAACTAAGAATATTAGTAGAATATAAGAACCAGTCTTTTAACTTTTAACTAAAAAAGCTAAGAACCGGTTCTTAAATGTCTTATTTAAGAATCGATTTTTAGCTTTTTTAATTAAAATTTAAGAGACGAGTTCTTATATTCCGCTAAGAACTTCGCCCTAAAAACTCCTCATTGAAGATGGTCTAATGAATCCTTAATCCAACCTAGGGAGTTTTCGTAACTATTTTATATAACTTTTTCAAATTACTATATCAACATTAATATCATAAATTACTCATCTATCAAAAAATACTGATATTCATGTAACTCTTTTTATTTACAAATATCACATTCGATTCTATAACCACGCCTGAAAAAAAAAAGCAGCAATCTAAAAAAAGAAACATAATTAGACTCAGAAGAGAAAAAAACGAAACCAGCTAAAATGACTAGCAGTCACCTTTTTAACACCAAAACATAAAAGTAACCTAACTATAATAAGCCGTTGCAACAAAAGAAGAAGAAAGACGTTGAAGAAAACAGGTTGTAGCCCTCACCTATTAAAGCAATGAAATCAAACATATGATGAACACAGAACTGTTTCTTAAGGGAAAGGTCGGCCAAAACCTTTTGGTGATCTTAGAAGATCACGTTTACCTCTCTAATCCAAAAGATGGCCGACCCTCCTTCGACTCTAGACCCAAATATATCTTATTCTGTAAGTACGTCCCGGTACGGTAGTGTAATATGTTATAACCAAACGGTTGCGATCCTAGACGGAGATCATAATGGATGGGAGACCGCAGCCTCGCTTAAAACGGCGTTTCCTTACTTTGCAATGCAACTATTCTTCTCTAATTTTTGCTACCGCATAATCTATTCCTTGACTCGGCCGCTACATCTTCCTCCTTTCGCCGCTCAGATCCTTGTGAGTAATCAAAATGTTTCAAATTCATTTAATTAAAGATTATTAATATTGATCACTTGAATGGTTTTGTTTTTTTTGCTTCTACATCATCATTGACTATTGCAAAAAAAAATTTCATTCTTATTAGTTAGCTATGTCCTAAGCATGTTCATCTTCAAAGTCTTGGTAATTTTTTAAAGCCAGCCAAACATTAGAGATTTAGAGTTTGGTTGGCATTCCGTTAACTTAATTGGTTTAATAAAATATAAAATTAGTTTGTTGCTTTGTGTTAGTAATTTTCTAAATAAAACATTTTATTTAAAACAAGAAATGAGAAAAAGATGTGTTCATGTGATGTCTTTTTAGTAATTCAAATTAATTAGTCTTATGTTATCTCCATCATTCGTAATGATTGTATGTTCATAATTTGCAGTGCGGATTACTGTTCAGCCCGACTTTGCTTGGTAGAGACAGTCGTCCCCTCAAAAAATTCTCTCCTTATAGATACACAATGGTTCTGGAGACATTCGCAAACTTAGCTCTTGTCTACAACATTTTCCTCCTCGGTCTCGGTATGGACTTGAGGATGATAAAAATCAAGCAAGTCAAGCCAATGGTCATAGCCATCGTTGGCCTCGTTGTGGCTTTGTTGGTCGGTTCTTGCTTGTATTACTATCCCGGTAACGGAGACCCCGACATAATTCTCGCAGGTTGTCTCTACTGGTCGGTTGCGTTGAGTTGTACGAATTTCCCGGACCTTGCGAGGATTCTTGCGGATCTCAAGCTCTTGCGTTCTGATATGGGACACACGGCCATGAGTGCATCCATTATTACGGATTTGTGTACTTGGGTTCTCCTTGTTCTCGGAAACGCATGTTTTACCAGAGGTAATATGATTATTTCCGTGTTGGTTTATAATTTGTAGCATAAACGAAATTGAAGAGAAGAATCCAAATAAATAAACCTCTAAAACCAAAACATTTGTGTTAGATTAGAACTCATGCACGTACACTATCGTTTGGTTCCCACCACTTATTAAGAGCTTGCCCTTGGCTCAGCCCATTATTGACAGTTAAGTCTTTGACTCCTAAGTTTTTTTCAGAAAAAATATTTAGTGATAACTTTACTAACAAAAGTTCAACATGAGCTAGACATAATTAATAAAATTATGTTTATAATAAAACAAAGAGCTGAATTTTTCTCTCCATAATTTTAGAATTTCTTCATTTTTACCGTTGACCAAATTTTATTGTGTCTCTAGTCCCTAATATTCGAGGACCAGTCCTTCACCAAGGAGCAAAACCACCTTATAATTAACTTCATGACACTAGTACTAACCAAAATTTCATGGAAATGCAGGTACATGGAACGATACGATGCCATTCGCGTTAGTATCAACCATAGCTTTTGTCTTTTTCTGCATCTACGTGATCCATCCTGGAATCGCTTGGGCCTTCGCCAACACGGTCAAAGGAGGCCACGTTGGAGAGACTCACGTTTGGTTCACTCTCGTAGGTGTCATTTTCTGCGGTTTAATCACCGACGCATGTGGGGTCCACTCGGTAACCGGAGCTTTCCTGTTCGGTCTCTCGATCCCTCACGACCACATCATTCGAAACATGATCGAAGAGAAGCTCCACTATTTCCTCTCGGGCATTTTGATGCCTCTTTTCTACGTCACATGCGGGTTTAAACTCGATCTTGACTACTTGTTACACAACACGACCCTTAAAGTGATGGCGATTGTGATTTCTTCTTGCTTTATGGTGAAGATTGTGTCTACCGTTATTTGCTCCCTCTTCTTGCGCATGCCCTTGCGCGATGGTTTTGCTGTTGGTGCCCTTATGAACACCAAAGGAACTATGGCTTTAGTCATACTCAATGCTGGACGTGACAGCAAGGCGTTGGACGTAACACTCTACACTCATATGACGTTTGCGTTCCTGGTGATGTCAATAGTAGTGCAGCCACTTTTAACCTTTACTTACACACCAAAGAAGAAGCTGATTGATTATAAACACCGTAACGTTCAAAACCTCAAAGGAGAAGTAGAGTTTCGAGTGTTAACATGTGTTCATGCCCTCATTAACGTTCCTGGCATAACCAATCTATTACATGTTTCTAACCCGACCAAGGAATCTCCTCTCGACATATATGCAATCCATTTAGTTGAGCTAACCGGTTGCACCACGGCTTCGTTGCTCATAATGAACGACGAGACCAAACCTAAAGTTAAATTTTCGGACCGAGTCAGAGCGGAATCTGAACAGATCGCTGAGACGTTCGAAGGCATGGAAGTGAACAACGACATAGTGTCGGTTCAGACCCTCACAGTGGTTTCACCTTACGCGACGATGCATGAGGATATTTGTACGTTGGCCGAGGATAAACGAGCCAGCCTCATCTTATTGCCTTACCATAAGAGTTTGACGCCTGACGGTCGGTTAGGTGAAGGAAACTATGCCCACGCGGAAGTCAACCAAAACGTTTTGAGAAACGCGCCGTGTTCTGTTGGAATATTGGTCGACCGTGGCATGACGACTGTTCGGTCTGAATCTCCTTCGTTCCAAGGCAAGACCACAAAGAAGGAAATTGTAATGTTATTCGTTGGAGGTCGGGACGATAGAGAGGCTTTGGCTTATGCTTGGAGGATGGTGGGACAAGAAATGATCAAACTAACGGTTATGAGATTTGTCCCTGATCGGGAAGCTTTAGTTTCGGCCGGAAAATTACCCGTTGAGTACGAGAAGGAGGCACAAGTCGATGAAGAGTACATATACGAGTTTAACTTCAAAACTATGGATGATTCTTCAGTGACTTATACAGAGAAAGTGGTTCACGATGGTCCAGAAACGATCAAGGCGATTAGAGAAATGGAAGATAACCATTCTTTCGATCTTTACATAGTGGGAAGAGGGGACAAAGTAGAAACACCTGTGACTGCGGGTTTGGCAGATTGGAATACTAGTCCGGACTTGGGTACTATAGGCGATACATTAGCTTCAGCAAGCTTCACAATGCATGCTTCCGTTCTTGTGATTCAACAATACTCAGCCGCCAATAGACAAACCTCAGAAAAGCATCAAGAAGACGTTAAAGGTGAAGAGAAAACCACTAATGAAGCGAAAGTGAATTCTCATGAGGACGAGGAGGAGGAGGAGGAGGAGGATGATGATGATGATGATGATGATGATAATGGGGATGATGATGATGATGATGATAAACAGTATGAAATGGGAATGCGCACATGATAGTATTTTAATGTGATGTAAACTTACGAATCAGTTTTTTTTTTTTTAGATTTGGGCAAATTTTTAGAAACACAGATATCAAAAATAATTGCTAATAAAAGAATACAACAAAGCATCGTTCTCGAACTCAAATTTCTTAACTGGTTATCATTTTACCTAAGCGCTAATTGATATTTGCAGATATATGAATACTCGCTCCATTTGAATTTTGACAACGTAAACTGCATTTAAAAGTTAACTTGATAGTTTACATAACACTTTAACGTCAACTCTCCCTAGCTAAAACGTTTTGTTCATCAAAATTCTTTTCCGACATTTACTCACACTTTAGTGCATTAAATAATCTAAAATCATTAACTAGATGACTAGTGAATGTCAATTATTAAAAACTGATCCAGATAATGATAGAATATTATTTTCTATATTCTAACATATTAATATCAACAATCCATAAATTCTCTTACAACCCTAAACTTAACTATAGATCTACTCACATATGAGAACAGAGAAAACACATATTGAAGATGAATGATGCATATTTGTGTTGAGAAACAAAAAACTTCTCAAGTGGTATAGTACAAATTCATAGTATGTGTTTACAATTATTTATTAAAATGTTAATATAGTTATATGCAAATTAATAATACTACCAAGTGAATAACAAATTAAATCAAATTGTAACATAATAAAATTATCGTATTGTAACTTTGTTTTAAATAATAAATAACTTTAATTCTAATAATATTTTACAAATTAAAAATTAGTAAGTAAACTGGTTAATGCTTATACGTTTTAAATATAAATAAACATAAAATTACATGACCAATAATTTATACTATATATATATATCTTTATTTTAAAAATTATTTATTTTAATCTTATAGTTAGTCAATTATATTATATCTACTAAAATTATTAAATATTATAGTTATAACTAGTGATAAATAAAATAAAATATTACTTTAAATGAGAAATTTGGTGTGATGGTTGAAAATAAAAAATAAAACATTACACCAAACCACCAAATTTGGTGTGATGGTTGGAACTACTCTAAGACAATCCATAATGATTTGCAAATTCAACATCCATCTTTTTAATATTTTACACCATCTTTTCTTTCTACCACTTAATACTTAGCACTAACTTTACTTTTATATCAAATTAAACACCTTACATTATATTATAGTTTTCTTATTGAAATTTTAATATATTTTTGAATGCTTAAATTTTTATTAATTTTTATTTCGTTTAAACTAGAAAAATTAATTAATTAAACTGTTGTAAAGACAAATTAAATTTATTATTATTCTCTTTTATATCTAAAATAAATAAACTAAATCTTTACAAAATGATGAATTTTTATTTAAACTCAAATAAAATAAATCTTAAGATATTACAAATAATTAAGATGTAAAAATATTATCATCACTTTTATAGTCAATAATATCTTGCCACTTGTCATTGTCTTTTTTATCTGGGATTTTTGCAAATTTGACTCAAAACTCAAAGTCAAACACAAAACTAACCTTTCTTGTTTTTTGATTTTTCGTTTGTCTTATTCACCCCATCTGTTCATATTATTTACGAAAAATGCCATTACACTTTTTTCTTTTCTTTTTTTTTGAAAATTATTTTTTTACTCTCTCAACCTCATCATCTTCAATTATTTACAAGATTGACATTGCCATCAATACCCTAACTACCATGAACAACCAATTTGAAGCTCTTAATGCATCAAAAATCGATTTACACTCTCTCTTTCTCAATTGTTATGAACTAAAAACAACATCTCTTTCACTTTGTCTCTATATTCATACAAAAAAACCCAAGTTTTTGATTCAAAATTTTTTATGGTTGATAGAGCCATTTAAGCATACAATTCTTGGTGGGTTACTTTCATTTGATATTCTGGGTGGTTGGAGAAGACTTTGTGTGCTAAGAAAGTCATCTCACTTAGTTTAAGGTATGAAATTGAATTTTTTTTCCAGATCTGTTCGCGTAGAAGACTTACTTGTATGTCTTCTGGATGAGCTGGACGACTTACTTCTAAGTCGTCCAGCTTCTAAGTCTTCCAGCTTTGCATGTTAAAAAAAAAAAATCTAGACGACTTATAAATAAGTTGTCTAGGAAAATCAGGCTAATTTTGTATTTGACCGAATTATGTCAGATATTTGACTTTTACTGGACGACTTATTAGTAAGTCGTCCAAGAAAAGTCAAATATCTGACACAATTCGGTCAAATGCAAAATTAGCCCGTTTTTCCTAGACGGCTTATTTATAAGTCGTCCGATTTTTTTTTTTAACATACAAAGCTGGACGACTTAGAAGTAAGTCGTCTCATTTAAATTTCAATTGCAAAAATGACCTGTCTGGAAGACTTACAGTTAAGTCTTCCAGCTGGATGACTTTCCAGACGACTTAATTATTAGTCTTCTACTAAGTCGTCCAGACTTTATGAGTATGTATTAAGAATTTGTTAGTCTTCTTAGATGACTAATAATTAAGTCATCTGGAAATTCTTCCAGCTAGATGACTTTCCAGAAGACTTAATTATAAGTCTTCTACTAAGTCGTCCGGACTTTATGAGTATGTATTAAGAATTTGTGTTAGTCTTCCCAGATGACTAATAATTAAGTCATCTGGAAAGTCTTATAGCTGGATGTTTGATCTTCT